GCCAGAGAAAAAGAGGAAGACCCCCAACGAGATGGATTGGCCAAGTGGCAGCATCGATGGACTCAAGCGTGGCAAGAGTAGTGAGGTTGGCCCAGGATCGGGCAGTGTTTCGTTCTGCAGTACATAGGGTCGCTATGAGTCGGTACCAACTCGATGGCACCTAACAACAACAACAACTCTGCCTTAATTATCTAGTACTTCTATAACAGACATACCACAAGTGGATATTTTCACAAACAGAAGTATATTATGTCAAACTTTAGGCAGCTAAACAACCAAATTCAGGTCTCTAGCTCTAGGAGGTTTTCTCTCTTGGTCAGCTCTGGAGGAAGATCCTTGTCTCATAGTGGGCCTGGTGTTCCTTGGAGACTTATATGTGTCTTGGCATCAATCTTACCCTTGGGTCTAGTAGGTTCTCATAATAGAGATCTTGGGTTGAAAGCACTTACTCCTGAATCTACTATCTTGGTAGTGGTCAGGTTCCTCCTCCTCTACTCCCTTTTCACTCCTTTAATGTCTTAAAAGATAAAAGATGATGCAGGCCACATCCCTGCTCAGGGCTGTGATCACATCAGATCACATCATGGATATGATTGTATTATTAACCACTAAGTTACATCATTGCATAACTGCCAAGCCACTGAAAATCATGGCCTAGCCAGATTGGCACATACTTTGAAGGGATACAATTCAACCCATGGCACTTTCTAACTCTGGAAATGTGTTTCGGATCCTTCTCCATAACAAAAGACATGGGGATTTAAGATGCCCCTAGAGCCAGCTATCTGGCCGACTGATTGGAAGAGATCCATATTTGTGCCCATTCCAAAGAGAGGTGACCCAATGGAATGCAGAAATCATCAGACAATCTCTTTGATATCTCAAGCGAGTAAAGTTTTGCTAAAAGTAATACAGAAACGGCTATAATCATACACAGAGAACTTCCAAAGGTTCAAGCTGGATTCAGAAGAGGCCGAAGAACGAGAGATATCATTGCTGATGTCTGATGGATCTTGGCTGAAAGAAGAGGATATCAGAAAGATGTTTACCTATGCTTTATTGACTACACAAAGGTTTTCAATTGTGTGGATCATGACAAGCTATGGACAACATTGAGAAGTATGAGTATTCCAGAACACTTAATTGTACTTCTGAGAAATCTGTACCTGG